GCGGAGACATGGTGCTGTGAAAGGGTCGGGAGCTGTCAGCATGTGTGTGTGTGTGGGGGGGGGTCAGCTTCCTCTGGACACCCCTTCTGAACTTCATGCTGTTTGCTTATGGTCTGGGTGGGCGGCTGAATTTCTTCTCTTGGTGGTTCCATGCTGCAGAGACTGGGGGATCCGAATAAGATGTAAGTGAAGGGACACTAGGACACCTGGGAGCCATTCCCGACATCTCTAAGGAGAGAACTTCAGGGCTGTCCTGATTGTTCCTTGAAGACCTCTGAATGTAATGAATCAAGGGTGAAAGGATTTTCTGGATTCATATTCTTTTTATGAAGTGCTCAGCATGTGTCATTCATTTAAAAAATTTTTTAATGTTTATTTATTTTTGAGAGAGAGAGAGACAGAGTACGAGTGGGAGAGGACAGAGAAGGAGACACAGAATCCAAAGCAGGCTCCAGGTTCTGAGCTGTCGGCACAGAGCCCGACACAGACCTTGAACTCACAAACCACGAGATGGTGACCTGAGCCAAAGTCTGGATGCTTAACCAACTGAGCCACCCAGGTGCCCTGAGTCATTCATTTTTAAAACCTTTATTAATTGATTTTGCCCAGAGTGAAAACTCGAGGAGCAGGTTTTCAGACTGTGCCTGGTGAAGCCTTGAGCATCTGTGATGGTGCCTGGCAGGTGCCCAGGGACAGGTCCAGGGGACCTGGCCTGGCTCTCCCTGTCCTCTTCCACCAGCAGTGGCCCACCTTAGCTCCTTTACACGGTGGCAGTTTACTCCAGATTTTGTTTTTGTAAAATTCCATCGCCTTAAACATGTTTGAATGCCATCACTTCAGGGAGTCGTTGTTATTGCCCACAGAAAAATAAATCACTTCTTTTTGAAGAATCATTTTGAATTGTGCACATCTCAGAGATGAAATATGTGACCTCCTTCCTCTTTCTCAGTCACAAGTACGGCCTTGTTTGGAATGCTTGGAATTTTTGTTGTTGTTGCTTTAACAGAACAGGTCTCTGCTTTGGAAAAGGCTTTTATCAAAATATTTTTACAGATAAAATATACTTTAAAAACTTGTGTACATGTATATATAGTAAACCGCTTAATTGAGGTATGATTGATGGCCAAAAGCTGTATATATTTAATGTATACAACTTGATGAATTAGATACATATGTACCTCAGGAACAGCATAATGCCTGTACTTAACAATGCTACATTGTGTGCTTAAAATTTTGCTAAGCGGGTAGACCTTTTTTTTTTTTTTTTTTAAGTTTATTTTGAGAGAGACAGAGACAGTGCAACAGGGTTGGGGCAGAGAGAGGGAGAGAGAAAGAGAGTCCCAAGCAGGCTCTGTGCTGTCAGCACTGAGTCTGATGCAGGGCTTGAACCCACAATCTGCAAGGTGAAGACCTGAGCCAAAACCAAGAGTCAGGCGCTTAAGCGATTGAGCCACCCAGGGGCCCCACTAAGAGGGGAGATCTTCTGTTAAGTGCTCTTACCACACATACACACACACACACACACATACACACACACATACACACACACATACACACACACA